GAAGTTCGAACACAGTTTACACCGCAGCAGTGGAGTGTGTCAAGAGAAACACAAAGAACACAAGTGATGGACACACACACTCTCACGGGCGGACAGGAAGGAAGAGAGATGCACACAGCCGTGCGCGCGGTGCATGGACATAGGATCTAGCCTAGGCCTGGGCAAAGCTACACACGATCAAAAAATAAATACAAAGAGAGTCGGGGAGACGAGAAAGGGAGGCTGGCTGCGATTTCACCTTTGTTGACCCTTGCTATCCATTAATCCTGATTGTGTATCACGCATGAGGTGGGATTTAGGTGGTAGTATGAGTGGCACAGCGGGTAGTAGTAGGCACAGGCACTGTGTTACAGTAGGCCTAGTGTGCTGTATCGTGACTGGCCGTCTAAATTAAGTTTTCATTTCCCATTCGACCACAAAAAAAACAACAACAAGCGAACAAAAACTACCATGGCGCGTGTCTATAACAGTGCACACTTTTGCGGGACCGCTATATATGCCTACTTGCAAACAAAGGGGAATTTTCTACATGAAAATCTCTGGTTAATGTCTACTTCGCACTTAAACACGCTTCGGCTTTAAGCACGCTTAAAAGCTTTCTCCCGATGACCGTGCTTAAAGCCGGCATGGACTGTAGTAGATCTAGGCTCTGGGTATTTTACTTTCCCTCCCGTCTCACACTTAAATCTAGCTACCAGCTGTCCATTTTCTTCTAAGTTATTGGTGTGCTGAACACAAATCAATTTCATTTCCGTCGCAAAATAATAGTTTTTGAAATATTTGATTGTTTTTAATCGAGATAGAGACGTGCTTTTGATCAATGGGAGGGGGGGAGTGGGTTGCAGGGGGCCTTGCCCCCCTGAGGTAAAAGAAAACGAAGTGACTATTTCTCAGAACGTTCGGAGAAATAGTGCCGATCTTTATTTCTCCGAACGGTTTCTGGCTTCCGGTCTCGTGATTTTTTGCCTATTTATTGTGAGAGTTCGGCGCCAACTTTCATTCTGCCTGTGGTCTGGGAAGGAACACCGCATGGCAAGCCCGCCTACATACAACCTTCAGTAACACCCACCACACACCCACCACCATCATGCACATGTACACACACAAACTTATACTATACACACACTAACTAAACATGATCAGTGGGCAACTTTTGAACGTATGACGAGCTGAGTTGTGGATGGAGAGACAGTGTGAGTGACAGAGCGGGTGCAAGGAAGAATTTACGAGTGTATCCACAGGCGACAGCAACTACAAGATGACGACACCGACCCCCCTGGCCTGGTCCACAGCTCACGAACGAAAGGAATGTGGCTAAGGCAGTGTTTAGTCTATATTATTGTCCATGGTTCGCAGGGTGCAAGGGAATGAGTGAGATTTTCTTTGTGTGTGCCTGGAGGGAGGGGGTGGGGTGTGAAAGTCATGAGGACGGGGATGAGCCGCTGGAGAGAACTCGGGAATTGATGAGTGAAACTGAAAGAGAGGAACGACTCATGAGCACTGGAGTGAATGGATCCTGTGTTTCTATTTTTGTATACTTTGAACTGTTACTGAATAAAGGCTGAAATAAAGCCCGAAAAACACACACACACTCCTCACTCTCCACTTACACACTTACTACCACACACAGACACACACACACACGTACATATGCATACACACACACACACACACACACAGGAGCAAATTTTTTGGTCTATATCTATTTCAATTTTCAAGAGCTAGTCTAGAGATTTTTAGATGAGTGTAAAAACGTGAAAAAGAAAAGTTTCACAACAGAATTAAATCAAAATTAGTCGAACAGCCCATAAACAACCACAAAAATTAACAAATAAGGGTGTGTGTCAACCTGTCCGAAGAAAATTTCATGTTTTAACCCTAAAAGTGCTTAAAAAATTTTTAAAGTACAGGATATTACATGTAAATTATGGAATCACACACATTAAGGGGCCTGCCAGTGTCAGTACATGTAATCGGTTTTGGTGGAACGTACGCTCTAACATAAAACATTTAAATCTATATATATATACATATATATATTTAGAATCTAATGAAGGTAGGAACATCAAATTAAATGACGTTACACTATGCAACATTCCCCCCCCCCCCCCCCCCCCCCCCGCGGTAGGCCATAAATTAGCGGCAGGTGACCTGCAATTTCACGCGTCAAGTCGGGGATTGACCGGGGTCAACTCGTGCACAGCACTGTCCTATCTTGTCCTTATCAGAACGTGTTTTTTCCCCTAATTTCATGAGCCGTAAAATGATGCTCACTGTACCCCTAGAATCTATTTCTTCACCAATTCCGCTTCGTCTACGTCTTCTTGATGTCTTGTGAAAGTTTCAACAGTTTTCATTGATTCGTTTGGGAATAATAGCAGTTTTAAATTGTGAGTGTTTAGTGATCGGAAGTGCCGTTAATAATGTTATCTCTTCAAATTTAATTACAAATCATTCGAGAATGGAACGATGGTCTTTATTTCTGTTTGCGCGGTGTGATAGCCATCAAATCATATTTTCTAATGATGTGAATTTTGTTTTTCCAGCACTTTGCAGTGACTGGCAATCAGTTAGTGAATTGTGTTCCTAAGTAAAAATCGTTAAACTGCAATGGGCCAGTCACACATATGAGAGGCATAGAGTCTCTGAATGAACTTTTTCGTGTGTGTTGGCGTTTAAATTTATTTGTCAAACAAAAAAAGTACAGAAAGCCCCGATTATGTAAGACAATGGCAGGAGATATTCTCTTGATTTATGGGATTGATGTGAGGGACGAAAATGAACAGTCGTATTCCGCTAACATTTGTGTCAAGTGTTTTACCGCGATCTCAACTATCAAACGGAGATATGGTGTTACGTCACGTCAATTCATGCCGCAAAAAAGCAGTTGACACCAGTAGGAACATGTAGTGTGCGTTTGGCAATAGCAGAAATGTGAATTCCTTCTCCGTTTTGTCGGTACCGCTTAGGTGGCTGCATACAAAGATCCATTTCAAGCTAACATCGTAAAACACCCCAAGCATACCTCCCTCCATCCCCATGAATGCAATGAACTAACAAACACAATTTGTGCAGAAACAAGAAAATACTCCCGCGAAACTGCAAAAATTGAGGAAGCAAGTGGACTGGAAGCAATATTCAATCTTCTCAATGAAAGATTTAGCCATGTTTACACTGCAATATCACATCTCAAACCAGTCAAACAATTTTCACTTCCAGAAATCTTCGTAGCAATCGACAATTACATGTCCGCATTCAGACGCTATTTCCCCGCAAAGTTATCCCAAAGCCACTCATATCATAGCAACACTGTATTCCACACATACAACAACACATGTTTGCTCTCGGGCTTTTAGGAAAACAGGACACAGAAAGCAGCCACCAAGCGATCTCAAAACTGGAAGCCAGAGCACGAAGGATCCCAAACCAGATAGACATAATGCGTTTTATTTTTTGTGTCGCATCTCCTGCAATTAACTCCCTCATTGCGTGCTGCTGGATATGTTTTGAAAGAAAAATTGTATACATTTTTAGTTTTATTCTGTACATGTTCATTTTGTGAAAAGAAATCGGTGCTGTATATTGAAGATACGTCAGTATATCATTATTCAGGAGGATACACAATCCACTGGATACAAAAAGTCATGAATGTAGGGAAGTGTTTTGGCTATCATGCTCATGACAAGTTCCATGTTCGTGCTGGAAACAAAATTTTGAGTGAGTCAATTTCTAAACACATTTTCCTGTCTTACGTGGCAGTTTTGTAAATATTTATCGTTAGGCTTATAAGTTATTAGCCATTCAATATGTGTTTGTTGTTTTGACTAACTATAAATAGACATACATTTTAAGAGCATCTAACTCAAAAATGTGAGCAGCCATGGTATTGCTATTTCGTACCAATAAAGAGGTTTAGTTGCTTTCTCTAAAGAACAAACTTGTGTTCACGTATGATATTTTTTGTTTGTGTAAGACGATAAAACATGTGTTGAAAAATTCATTTCACCGGCTACCGACGCAGGTAGCGGGAGGGCGGGTTAGTGACCTCTAGTTGACCAGCCCGCCGTGACCCGGTCACTCCATCGCCGATCCAACTAAAAGAGCGCTGTTTGTACGCCGTGGAACGTACGGAGAAATAGTGCCGGCTAAAAGAAAATCTGGGGGGGGTTACAGGGGCATGCCCCCCTGTTTTAACCCATAATTTGATATTTTACAGTTAGATTTGAAATTTTTCTGAAAATAATTGATTTGCGACAGCAAACAGTACTGCAGTATGACCCCCGAAGCAGTGCTTCTTGTGTGCGACAGTGAAAGTAAAAAGTAAAAATTTATCAGGCTATGTTCCCCACCCCAAAGTCCAAGTCTTTCCTTGTCCCAGCATTTGGCACTCCTGTACAATTACAGTCCTGTTTGCACTTTAAATCACACTAGGCCTAGCACACTGGATATGATACTTATATAATTTAAATAGGGAATTAAATAGCGAGACGTGGGTTATTCTCTCCCGGGGTGAGAATAAAGGTAGCCTTTAAATAGTCGGTATCAATGTTTTATGTTTTATCAGTAGATCTAGCCTACAAAATGAACAGTAAAATAAAAATTTCACTTGTTTAGATAACAAGGCAAGGGGTTTCAGGGGGGCTTGGCTGCCCCTCACCTAAAAAAACAAAAACATGCGGGGTTTCATGCCCCCCTGAATTTGACCATGATTTGATGTTTTGCAATTACGTTTGATAGGCTTTTTCTCCATATCGGCACGCGCACCAAAAAGTAATCGTTCAGAACCAGAAGTAATCGTTGGTGGGGCCAAAACTAGTATCCCCAAACAGGACCGCAATTGTACAGGAGTGCCCAGTGTTCTCAGAGAACATGCGACTAAACGTTGAACGGCGCAAACTACTTTTAGGTACGGTGGCCATTGTATGTGAAGTCAGACAGGGATATCCCCTCCGATCACATGACTACATCTATAACCAACCGCATGTTACCAAATATCATGTAGAGAATCTTTGATGGCACGACGCTTTGGTGCAATGTTTTTCCAGGAATACCGGTTTGGTGCGGTGTTCCGATGATGCTTCTAATATCTCTTCTGCGCTTTGTTTATCGCACCCGGGGGAGGGAAGGGGGGGGGGGTCATCTTCCGGCATCTTTACGGCAACTTTCACGCGCTTTAATGTCTTTGCGTTTACCATGTTTCTATTTCAAGCATCACAACCGGAATTCCAAAATGTAATTAACATACCGAAAACCTTGTAACCAATGAATAGAGCATGGCTAACGGGCTGCAGTTAGCCTCAAGTGTGAAATTTTATCGCGCGAAACACATTGATACGGATACGTCAAGCCATTGACCCAACATGTCGTTCCATGTATCTCCAAAGATTCTCTACTACACGATCTTTGGTATCTCCACGGCCTTTTAAAAATAGTTTGTGGGTATCCCAGGATGTGATGACATCACATTGCTAAAATTAGCCACCAATGTGGCAGGTGCATTGTTCTATATTTAGCCGCATGTCTCAGAGATAGATCTAGATCAAACTCAGCCAACTAATTTAATACCAGATCTATATCGACTTTGATTTGGTTTTCTTTGCCTAGTAAAAGTACTGTAGTCATTCATGAAATTATGGTATATATATAAGTCTGTTATGAGTTTTTATGAAAAAATGAAGACTCACTTCTGGAAATTTGAACACCAATGTAGCCAACGCCCACACTACTAGAGTTCATCACTAGATCTACAATCCTCCAGTTCCAACTGAGTTTGAAAGACTCGCCACAGCACAGTCGCAACATTTCATTTTTGTTTCAGCTTGGTTCCGATCTGTCCAAGCCCTCTACCTTCTCCACTGTGTCGGCCTCCTGGTGTCCACGGCAATGTACATTCTCTACACCATCAGGTTTTTCGAGTCCAAAGGTAGCTTCAAAGTGCTCACAGCTTTCAATTTTCTCACAGGTGAGTTTTGATTTTTTTTATAGGGGCACAAAGGCTTTTTTTCTTTGGCCTTGGTGTGTGTTAAAAATGTAGCCACTATTTTTAGGACGCGAGAATACACATGATGCACACTCATTATGGTTCTTTCATTAAATTATTTCTCACTATAAAATGAATGTTTGGGCCATCTTACTGAGACTGAAAGTCAGAACTGCTGCATGGGTGATACACTTGATGACCCTGGATTTGAGCTCGTGGTTGAGCATGCTGGCGATGGGAGGGATGGGGTGGGGGAAGCTTATAAATTGGTACTGAATTTTGGTTCAGGGGTCTAGCTTGAACTTAAATATGGAAGGAGTGAGGGGCTTTTTAGAAAATTGAGGAGGAAAAGTACCTCTCTATGATATTTTTCATATATCATGTAACAAGTTCATTTTTGGTTGCTCGTGTCATTTAAAAAATGAGTCTCTTTAACTTTGTATTTTTTTGTTTGTGGTTTTTGTGATCTCTATTAACCCCTTGACAGCTAACCATAAGTCCTCCGCGTGTGCTAAGGAAATTTCCACTATGGCTGTGTATGGCACGGTCTGCTTTTTGAATGGTTATAGCTCGCTTACTGTAAGGACTGGATATAGCAAAGTATATGTCAAATAAAAGAGAAATGAACATACAAGTAATCCATTGGTGTTACTCATTTTTAGTATAAGTATTCTGTAGAAGACTGGGGCAGGTGAAAGGGACATTTTATAAACTTCAATCTTCGTATTCGAAATCCCTGTCATTTCGGAGATTAGATCTATGACAAAAACTTTCTTCTGATGAATTGAAATCTTTGTCATCACTGTCTGCATCTCTTTAAATTTCTGCAATGACCGAATCCGTAGGCCTAGTCAACCTTTGCGAAGCCATCGTGGTGAATGTAGACTGCATGCAAAAACCTCAAAGAGGCAGACTGACTTTGTCATTCGCGCAAAACACGCTACACACCGTGTCTCTTTGTTTTAGCTACTACATGCCAATCCCAGGACTAATAGCCCAAAAATAGGAATGATCGCTTCGGCAAGTGGACAGGAATACAGGGATGTAACTCTTATTCAGAACTGTAGAAGTGAAGATATGAGCGAAACAAAACAGGGTTTTTTCCGGCGTACCAGGTATGCCCACAGCGCTCACGGGAGTGAATTATTAGGGCATACCAGGTATGTCCACAGAGCTGGCGAGGGATTAAGGTGAGAGAGACTATAAGTAGAATTTTATGAACCTAGAAATGTACAGAACTGGAATTGTTTTATCAGTAGATAGATTTTTTAAAAATGAAGGTGGGGTTTAAGTTTGTCTTATTCAATTCTGAATGTTGAAAATTTATGTCTGAAATTATGTATGGAACGTGCTATTTGAAAAAGAATAGTTTGTTAAATTCTCATTTCTTCACTGATTCAATTGTTTTTTCAGTGGCTTTTGGGGTGTATGCTGTTGCTGTTTTCGGAACGAGCTATTCAAAATTTTTTGGTCTGGGCTCCCACCCGACAACAGACGACTACTCTTCCCTGGACTGGGCTTTCTACACGGCTATCACTGGCTGCTGTTTCTCCTTCCTGGTCATGATTTTCAGCGCGATGGAAGCGAGCCAAGCCGCAGACATCTTCCGCAACATGCAGCATCGTATCACTGTGTGGAACACTCCGTATACTCTCTTTGTCGATCAGGAGACCGCCTGATCCTTGCAATGACCAGAGGGTGCCACTTTTCTTAAATTGTTCTTTTTTTCCCCATTCTTTTTTTGTTTGTTTGTTTGTTTGTTTTTTGGGTTATGTTCTGGTGTTTGAGCACAATGTCCATGTATTGATTTCCTTTTAATTGGAAAGTTTTGAAAATTTTACGAGACAAAGATGGCATCCTGAAGACATTCCGGAAAAAGTAATTCCAGTGTGGAGAAGATCAAAGGAAAAATATAAACTCTACTCTGTGCAAAACATTCAAAAGTAGTGAAAAGAAGTTTGATACAAGGAGAACATGAATGAGGAATTACTGAGCTTTGTGTCACCTGTCCTTCACCTTTGTTCCCATGTGGAATGTTCCTTCCTATTTCGCGATATTAAACAGACAGATAGAAAGTTGGTGTTGAACATAGTCAAAAATAGAGGTCATAAAAGATTTTCTTTGAAACATTTTTATGCCACTGACCCCTGACGAAATGAGACACTGCTGCATATTACTGACAGATGATCTTCAGTTGTTTGCAACTTGTATTTACGCACAGGATGGGTTAAGAAAAATATCTTATTCTACAACTGGGTGGTCTGGCAAGCAGAAGCACAGACCTTGGCTTCCACAGATGGAAAAGGATTCTTTAACCCTTTACTGTTTACATTTTTTATCACCGGCTGTCCCATGTGTTCAACATCCAGCGTTCATATTCTTCTGCACTTAGTCTAAGTGAAAGTAAAGGCTGATCACTGACGCTGACTCTCACTTTCCTCCCAGGAGGATAAAACGAGGTTACCCTTAGTGTCAGTGATCTATTTTTAAACAGCCAAGTTTGCAGTTGAGGAAATCCCACAGTAGGAGCAAGTTGCATGTCTCGCCAATTTCGATCATGTTAAACATCCCATGTCAGCCTTCTTGGTGAACAGGAAAGGGTGGAAAAAGAATTCCTTGCGACATATCTCTGTAGCAGGTCTTGTTGTCTCTTGTGAAAGGTACCATGTTTTGTTGTATATAAATTGTTGCTTCTGATGCAAAAGACAGTGTTTCAAGTACATACGGGACATGTTTTGCTGTCTTTTGGTGAGAGAGCTGCCAAAGAAATACAAAACATTTTAGGTTGTGTTAGCAAGGTTTGAAATTTTGAATTAGTTTTGCAGGCAGTTTAGCTGAATGAACGGAAATTGCTCCATAATTCCACAGAAAGTGCGGTCTGGTTGCTTATTTAGAATGTTTCATGGGTTAAATGGGTTTTCCATAGTTATTTGAGTGAATGATGAATTAAGATATTCATTATTTTACAATACACATCCCTTTATGGTATAGGTTTCGTTTTAATGTCAGTTGCTTATCAAGTTTTCTACTATGTTGTTCATTCCAGGTAAATAATGTGTAAGTGTAACCAAAATAAAGTCTCCTTTTTCAAGGCATTCCGAATCTCAAGAGTAATTGTAGGGATCATCACAGTCTCATGCATTTTCTGTTCGTTTGGGTTTGTTTGTTTATACGTGAGGTGCTTGTACTCTACAAGTGTTTTGTTTTTTGTATGTTGCATAGAAAGTTACATGATGAAAAAGTAATTTTTACATGAAAAAAAACCAAACCCAGTCCCATCAAATGCTTTGTGGAAAAGAGAAAAAAACACCCTCGATAGCGTGCTGTATTTTTAACTTGAGGTTTCAGTGAGTGGTTTCATTGATTGTAAAATGTAGTTTTAGTACTTGTGATTTGGTGGAGGTTTTTGCTTTGAAAAGTCCCAAAGTAGTTTTTTGTTTAGCTTTGTCACAAATATGGAGAATACTTCCGAATTTTAAGTTCTTCCATTTTTTAAAAATCTAAGCGCAATGTTCTTGTTTTTTCAGTTTTTTTGTGTTTCCCGGAAGGCAGGGAGGAGGGTCTCTAGCTGTATTTTATTTCACTGCATAATATGAACTGAACCTGTCTCTACCTGATATCTATGCTTTCATTTTTCTTACTTTGAGCCCCAGAACTGGAAATGGTATTCAGTAACCTCACTCTGTTTCATGTGGGTGTAGGTGACAATGTGTTTTCTGTGTATAAAGTTGAGATTTACATTTCAGTAATCACGGAAGCAGATGATGTAAGTCAATGGTAACTAACAACCTTGTATGATCCAGTGTTCTTGTATATCAGGAGTTTCAAAAAGTAAATATGTCGTCATGTGTTCATTAAATACATAGAAGCCGGTAAAGTTATCAGATATTGTTGATCATTCTGTTGATGTTCATCGCACAAAAAGTGGTTAAGATAGTAAATCCTATACAGGTTCTCTTTTCAAAGAACACATTCATAGTTCTGCTTTGAGATATGCTGCCATCAGATTAATGAAGTAACTTTTTTGTTTATAAATAATAACTGTAATAAATGTATTAACATGTGGTGTCAGCTAAGAAAATGCTGAATTCACACAGGCAACGTCTTATTGCTTGTCATGTATTTTGATCAGGAGATGGGTGCTGGAAGTCCTTTTTAGTGTGTTGTGATATTTTATCCAAGTCCATTTTTGAGTTGTGTGTGTATGGAGAAAATCCACCTGCACCACTGATTGCTCACAGCATTCCACAGCTATTTTATTGCTCATAGTGTCGTGACTTGATTGCTTCAAGCCCCAAGGCAACTTGTCGCATTCTACGTATCTCTTTTTTTTTCCTGGTCTTATTCTGAAAGTCGACCTTTATTGTTTTTGGAAGCAATTATTTTTGTCTTGATATATAGATTATTATATTGCTACCTGTTTTAGAACTTGTATGGCAAAACATTCCTTTTTTTTTTTTGCCATAGGTTACAAGTTTTTTTGCAGATCTCTTTTCAGTTTCACTAATTCTTTTTAGGTTTCAACAATTGCCAAGGTCCTTTTAAGATTGCTTTGCTTCTGGTGCTCAGAAGAATCCAGCGTGCTGGGATACATGTAGGATACTTGCAAGATTTTATCTGTCCCCATGACAATTGACAATCTCAATTGCTTTGTAAATAAAGGTGTTATAGTGAGAAGAGGTCTGTAGCCCAGGGTTAAACTAAGTACTAAATTGTATCAGTTCCTTGCAAATCTTAGTGCAGATTTCATTAAAAATTTTCTTTAATCTCTGTGATAATTTGGGAACGCTACTGAAGATATGTAACATAAGAAAAGGTGCAAGCCTAAACACTATTTCTTTTTTAAAAAATGTTTTATTGTTTTGAAAAATGTTTCAAGTTACTTAATTCAGTTGGTCGTCTTGGTTTCAAAGATCATCAAAGGATGTAATTTTGATGTATGTCTGTCCTTCCATGTGTGTGTTCTGGCCTTCTGTAAATGGCAAGCTGTAATGTAGAAACAATATAATATTTATGTGTTCGGGAATTAAGTCCGTTGTGGATCTACAAGTTTGCCGCTTAACTAAAATTTCCAGGATTAATTAACTTAGCCACACCACTGCACTTTGTGTTCTGACAGTTTTCTGTCTTTTCCACTGAGGACCGCTTACTCCCTTGTCGAATTATTCTCAAAGTAATCTTTGGTTGTTTGGGTTTTTTTCAACCTGGCTCCTTCTTTACTTTTTTTTTTGGGGGGGGGGGGGTTACCACTTTTTTCACTGTGAGATGCCATTGGCAAGGTTCATTGTATAGTTTTTGTGGGGAAGTTGTTGGAATCCACTGATTCAAGGTAAAGCTACTGTTTCTATTATTATGATTCAAGGCCATGAAAGGGACCGCGAAGACTTGTCTGTGATGAGGAAAAGTAAGAGACCCGTATCATGTATAGATTTCTCCTATGTACAGTTTCAGTGTTTGTGTATATTCGTATATTCTCTTTATAGTGGTGTCATTGAAAATTCAGTATCGTCTGAAGACTTAAGACTTATTTACTGCTTCTGAAAAAGCTCTTATTTACCTCCAATGACTGTGTTAAGATAGAGGTGTTCAAAGAAATATTTTATTATACCTTTCAAAGTTATCTAGATCTCTGCATTTGATGTTTTGAAATCCATAAGTAGTTTACTTTCTTTCTTTATATTTTTACTGATGTGTATAACAAACAGGTGTTTAGCAGAGTCAAGTGTTGAAGGAGCTTGTTGACCTCCTGACATGAATGTCTACACAGCACAATTCTCTTTTTTATGAAGTAGCTTATGTGACCAGTGTTCCTAGGGAGAAATCTTACTTGCTTCCACTTATGAAGTAATGAACATGCCATATTGTTTTTACGTGCAGAAGACGTCTCTCCAAGTTGAGACCAGTACCCTGAGTTGGGACGAGTGTCCTGAGTTGGGATGAGTGTCCTGAGTTGGGATGAGTGTCCTGAGTTGAGACGAGTGTCCTGAGTTGGGACGAGTATCCTGCTGTTAGTTGTCTGTGGTATCTTACTGTCTCATTCTCTGCAGCTCCTTGTGCCCAATGATGCGTCAGTCTGAGGGACCCAGTAGAGAAATCTGAGGACCCTTTTGGGTGTTCGAGCTGACGGCTCAGAAATAAATGTGAGGACCATAACACTGTGAGGACCATAACGCATGGTGAAGTCTCGTCAGAAGCAAATTGTTCATTGTCAGTCCCATGTGTTCTTGTAACCGTCAGGGAAAAGCAGATGTCTCTACTGCTTGTACCATGTACATCCACAGTTTATGATATAATGTGTAATTTTTTCCCCAGTGTAAAGGTTTTCTCGACCCCCCCCCCTCCTCCCTTTTCGTCTTGTCTGCTGAATTTGTATTGTGTAGGTACTTAGTTCCTGTTTGTACCATTATATATCTCACTTGCAAGTGAATGTAACCAGGAGAATATTTATATTATAATGCTTGTAATGCCCATTTCGTATGTGCAGCCAAGGACATTTTCCAGGAACGATAAACATTACGTACATGATGTTTGGGAACGTACTTTTCAACAACTTTTTTTTGCGTCTATTTTTGGTCTATTTGAGTGGTGTGGAGGAGGAACGTTTTGCCACAGGTAACAGCAGTTTTTGAAAAGAATATCTGCTCTCTAGAGATTTATTGTTCAAGTCTTTGCCAAACCATATTTTTTCAAAATTGAAGTCCAGCTGTTAAAGGAAAAGGGAGACTTTCTTGATGAATGTTCTTCGACTGTTGTTGTATAAATTTACTTACATCGTTGTTTTTGGAGTCCCAAGTAGTTCAGAGTGAAACTTTTAAGAAATATAATCTTTACAGAATGTTGAAGGCTCTCATATCCTTTAAATGGTTTTCTCTGGGATGCCGTAATTTAGAAATGAAAATGATCTTTCTTACAGTGGTGCTACTGTGTGCCAGAAAAAAATTATATTCTGTAAGAGTCTGATTTTTAATTTCCGTTAAAAACAATTGTTTGTTTGTGGCAGCTAACGTATATTACATAGTTTAATATTTCAGAACAAATACAAGAATTTGCCTCCTTTCTTGATATAAAATGTATTCTTTTATAAGCAAGAGATTTTAAAATTTACAAATTTGACCGGGGGGGCTCACATTGGCATTAGAATGGTCAGTTATGATAAACATTCCTAAAATAGTTTTACTCAATCTTTGGCCGAGTCATGTAATGTTAAGTTCCAAGTTCATCTCTCGTTATTTCCATATTTGTCCTTGACTTATATTGCACAATCTCCATCTCCACATAAAATCACATACCATGACCCCCCACTTCCCCCGTCCGCACAAATTGAAACCTTTTCACCTACTTTGTTGGGATTGCAGAAAGAGAGGGGTTTTTTTAAAAGAAGAATTTGACCATGTTCCTAATTTTTTAATGGTGGTGTTTGTGCTGCTTACTTGTTGTTGTTTTCTTCCATACATATTTAGTTCTTGTAAACAGAAGTCCGACCACAAAGCCCCCAACCCTCAAATTTCAATTTGCTCACAGAGAGTTACTGTGTTATATCTCCGTATAATAACGCTGGGGTGATTTTTTTTCCTCGTCTTCCATAAAGGCTAGTGTGTTGTTACAATAGGCCTATATGACATGTCCATTCTGTGTCATTACATTCTTTATACCAAATATGCCCTATGTGGTCTTCCATATAATATCTCAACCCTATAAGGGAAATTTTTATATAAAATTGATCATTCTGGAACCTTACAGTTTTTTCTTTCTTTACATAACTTTAAGATTTGTACATTTTTACTGAACTCAAGTGTATGTGGTTGCTGTGAAAAAAACATATATAGAATCTAGATTCATTTTTAAAAAAAATTGGAATGGAGAATATGACCTTGACCATAATGTGTAGGCTATATGTTTTAGGAAAGTGAATTTGAGCAGCTTTATTCTGAGCAGACTAGTTGGTGTAGATATTTCATTGATGGCTGACCTACTGTTGTTTATGGTAGCTATGGAGTTTTTGCTGGGCAAATATGATATATATATATTTTTGGGAGTGAGTCGCCTGATTTTGGAAACAAATGTTTGCTCGACTATGGTTGGATTCTAAAATGGTACAACAATGAAAATGCCTTTTTAAAAATGTTCCAATGTATGGGTAATGATACAAGAAATTATTTGATTTGGTATAATTTCATTTCTTAGCGTTTGATGGTAAGACATTCACTTTCACAGAATAGTGGGCACTGTGTCTATTTTTACTGCTGTTTTATTCAGAAGATGTTGTAGGGATTAGCAGGTCTGATCTCTTATTGTCA